GATGTTATGAGGCACAGTAAATTTAACTGACATCCCAGTCGTTTGTGCTCTAGGAATACACTTATCTATGTGTAAGGAGCTCATAGAGATGACGAGACTTCATAGGAGTAACAATAATGACACCAACAATAACAAATAAAATATGACTCTCCCGTAGTATCTTTCACAAGTAGATCTGAAGAGTTTTCACCATGGAAGTCGTTATGGTTGTCCTGGCTTTGCAGATGTCAAATCTGAGGTGCAGAGGAATGCAATGATTTGGCCAAGATCTCACAGGCAGGAGCTCATTGGGGATTTTGAGACATCTGAGGACAAATCTGCCCAGGTACCAGCCCCAGGCAGGAGCTCGTTGGGGATTTTGAGACATCTGAGGACAAATCTGCCCAGGTACCAGCCCCAGGCAGGAGGCACCTCATCCCTGCACAGGGATGGGCTCGTGGGCTTGGGAGCTGCAAGAAGGACACTAGCCCTGAAACGGGGGAAGCAATGGGACAGACCTGTTTTGGCTGCTTATACACTTCTGGTTTGGTGTTACTTTGTGAGTATGAAGCTGACAAATATCCAGGTACCCTGGGGACGTCGACAGGGGCAAGATCCATGAGAAATGCAGTTAAGTACTGTGGTGCTCACTTTGAGGTCTCAAAGTCCTGGGACCGAAACCGAGGAGGACAGAAGTATCAGGTAGATGGGAAGAGTTAGATGATTCAAAACCAGATCCACCGCAGTTTGCATATTTGCAAGGGAGTATACATATACTTTTAAGGAGAAAGATGAAAAGTGCCTTGTCCACAATGACCTGGGATAGTTATGATCTCTTCCTAGGTGATAACAAATCTGGAATTCTATCTGTTGAATATAGAATAGGTAAAAATAACTCCTTCAAGCTGAAGAGCTGTTTGAACATCCTGGATGAGGATGTTACTTTTTCAGCAGTTTACATAAAAAAAAAATGCCTGAGGCCTTTCTCTGTCTGCCTTTTCTCCTGCAAGCGTGCATAATGTGCAGCTAAAATCACTAAGCAACAGCTTACTTCTGACTGGTGTTTTCCTTCTTAGTCTGCTAAGGGAGACAAAAATCATTTAAGAATATTTCAGCTAATGCACTTGGGTTGCCATGTTTTCCTGATGTAAAATCTGAGTGTCATAACAGAAGGCCTGAGGCAGCCTGACCATTACTTGCCATAAACCTTAGTGGTGACTCTGGCAAAAAGATGTAACTAGAGAGATTATTTCAGGGTGTTTTGTAGAGACAAAAATGTGTCTTACTACCACGTGGCTTATTTTTATTATCAGAAGAGAAATTGTAGTTTTTAGAGCTTTCAGACTGATACACGAGCCTTTCCTACAGCACCCTCAATTCCTAGACACGCTTGCAAAGGCAGTATTTGTGCGCCTTGGAGGTTTCCTTTCTGCAGAAGTTTGAGCCATCTGGTTTCCAGGCTCAATAGGTGAGAGCTGGAAATTCAACATGCAGTCGGGGCTGTGCAGCAGAGCAGTAGCATACTTGCCCAGTGAGGGTTTTGAGCGCCTCTGCCATCGACTCCAGCTTGCCCTCCTTAATCCCTTCAAAGGTCCAGCATGGCTCCCAGCTAACTTGAACATTTTCCTTTTATCTCCTGGCTTTTCAAGAACCTGTTTATCAGCTGGTGTACTTGACAGTTCCTTTGTACTTTGCACTGACAGTGGTGGAAAATTCATGTCTCGTTTCTCCTTTGATTGTTCCAATGATTCAGAATGTGTTGTAACGATGATTGTTGTCACCTCAAGAAAATGTTCAGCCTGCCCCTAGAAGTCCTGTTTCTGTTTTCTCCCTAACCTGCTATCTCCAGCCTGTCCTTTTTATTTGCATCCTCTGATGCAGACCTCCCTGTGTCCAGCAGGACACGTTCAGAGTTGTCTAAGCACCAGGATGAAGGAGCATCAGGATGACTCCGTAGTGCAAATACTCAGTCTCCCTACTTCCAGCCAAGTGCCACGAGGATTGCATCACAAAGTCAGGCTCCTCACTTGCCTTCCCTCCCAACCCCAGAAATCCTGCCCTCTTGGCTGCAGAGCCCGGTAGGAGCATCCCTTTGACCAGATGCAGTTAGAGCAGCTGTCTTCTTCACTTGGCGTTTCACGTATGAGATTACACGCTGTTTCATTTGAATCTTTAGTTTTTAGAAGGCCAGGGGAAAGTCTAATTCCTGGTTTAATCTGGTGGCTTCTAAAGTGCTGCCAACGTAATGGATTTGTACTGGTGTGTTTGCCTCTGTTCATTTTTCTTTTCTCTGTATCTGGATCTACTGGAGCCTTCCTTATCAGGAGGGGACCAGAGGTGGTGGAAAGCTGCTCAGGGTGGGTGTCAGGACAGACGAGTCACTTGTCATGCCAGGTACACATCCCAGCCACTGTTTTACCAGCCACAATTATACCTTTATGCTTTGATCTCTCTGAGACTCCAGATCTTATTAGTGTCTAATCTTTTTTTTTTTTTTTTTAATGTGGCATGGATCTAAGAAACTAGAGTTTCCAGAAATGTGTCACCCAAAGCTTAAGATTGTAAAAGGCATCTGTGTGTGTTTCAAAGCCAGAATGATAAAAAGAGAGCACTTATGGAACAAAAGTCATATTTTTCTTACAAGGGAAAGGCATTTTTCTCTTCAGAACACATTTGTAGCTTCTTTCTTTCTGTAAAAGGCAGCTGGAGGAGGACGTGGAGATTGGTGACGTCTCAAAGGGTGGGAAGAAATTCCCACCTGATGGAAAATGAAGTGGCAGATGAGCAAAGAGTAGCAGGGGTCTTCCAGCCCTCACTGGGGTTTCTTGGGGGCTATACAAACATGTGCTGTAGTCATTTTAATGCATACTATGATATCAAAATACTGCATGCGTTGTTGTGGCCCGTTATTTGCAGGTGAGAGACTAAAGACAGGGAAGAAAGAGCTCAGATGGAGTAGTCAAACCTGGATGGAAAAAATAATCCAAGCCTTTTCGAGAAGGATTTGCTTAGGCTGTGAAGACCACAGGTTAGAAAGGAGATGTGGTTGATCTGAAAGGCTGGTTATTTTTCTAGCCCTGATAAGACACATATCTGTAGAGGTGGCAGGAAAATGCAAGAATATGTTTCAGACTATGGATGTAACTCAGCAAAATAAATTTGTTGCATCTCCAAAAGCAATTTAGCTTGACCCAAATTCTGAAGGACTAAGATGCATGTTCATTGTGTCATGTTATTAGTTAATGGTGTTGTTTAATTTGACCCCATTGGTAATTACAGCCTTCTTTGTCCATGTAAATAATTAACTTATGGGTAGTCATACAAACTGAATAGTCCCATTCCATCTTTATTTTTAATTCCTAGATTGCTTTTGTTATGTAAAATAAAATGTCGTCTGGTAAAGCTATATATTGATATTAACAATCATAAGAGTTATTGCTCTGCCCACTCTTTAACCACAGATTTTAATTTTTCTTTTTTAACTAAATGATTGCAATATGATAGCATCCCACCCAGCCTCAGCATTTAATAGTAAAATGAGCCTTTACCATGGCAAAAAGTACACTTGAGCTCCCTGCTAATTGCTTGTGTTTATCATCCAGCATTGCCTATTGTTCTTTGTACTTTATTTGTGCAAAGCGATGCAACTGCGTTATGTTCTACAGTAGCTAATTTCCAGCACTATTTATCCAAAGACAAAAGTCCATCTGAAAAAATCATTGTAGGCACGTGTACTGGGTAAGTGAATAGATGGGCAGATATTAGAACATATGTGCAATATCAAGGCTTTTTTATTTAGAAATAGAAACTGCAGGCAAAAACAATTGTGCTTGTCGAATCAATCTCAAAAAATGACCTTTTATATTTTTATTAATGACATTTTTATTGCCTTTATTTGATTTAATTCAGATAAATACCTTTTGTTTAATCTATCTTTTATTTCATTGCAACGCCTTGGTTTTAGTTCCACATTTATCCTTTTAGCTGATTCTGGTTTTTCCCTTCTAATTATTTTTCTGCTCCTCCGAAGCAAATGTTCTCTTTGGAGTTTTCATCTGAAACAGCAGATGAATCTTTTTTCCTCTGTGCTTCAAGAGAAACTTTTTCAATTTTTTTTTTTTTTAGCCTGAATTTGGAATTATATTAGACAAATGTCTATGTATTACATTTATCAGTTAAAATACAGAAAACACGTCTAGCAATCATGAATAACAGATAAAAAGACCCTGAATTACTGGGTACTCGAGTGCCAGAATATAATTACGATTTGGCACAGAGTAGTGATACAGAACAGAAACCCAGCAGCTCTTCTGTCTCCCGGTCACAGGACCTGAGGGTGCCAGGATCAAATATTTGCAGGAGAGCAGCCTGTAATCTTGATTTGCCCCATTTTTAACCTCTGTTCAGCCACGACCCAGAGGTATTCAACTGTCACAGATACCTTTTGAGCTTTGCTTTGCGTATCTTGGAGTAGGAGAAAATGCTTTGGTTATAGCTGGTGATGCTTGTTCCAGAATAGGAGAGAACTAATTACTGCGGGTTGTCTAATTAATTTTTTCTGAATTTTCTGGGTTTTGGTAGGTTGAAAATATCAACTGAAAAAAAAAAATGGTAGATTAGCCTAAATAAGGGAAGAACAGGCCAAATTTTTAAGCGCTGTAAAGAAGAACCTGATGCAGGATCTGTGGCTCTCCCTGACCGACACAGACAGTTGGGAGGAGGGGAGATTTTACAGGAAAAAACCAAATATTCTCCCCTTTTTCCAGCTTTCAAAGATAACCACACACTTGGGTTAAGAATCTAATAACAGCTTTTCGTTCTCTTTTCATTATTCAGGTCTTGTCTGTTTATATTGTAATCAGATAAAAAACTTGCCACAAAACCACGAGCTGTTTGATAACTGATTGCTGATTCTCCAGTTGTGAAGAAGTGGTGGGAACAGGCCTCCCAGTATTGAAATCTTTCAGGGCTACCACACTTTTGTTCATAGGTTGCCTTTTTATATACATGTTTTTTTTTAAAAAAAGAAGCAGATTTCTTTCTTCTGGTTCGTGTTTTGGCTTGGAATCTATAGGGTTTGCTCACACCACATCTGGGGGATTAGCTCATGGGTGGAAGGGTTTCCCAGGCTGAGCATAAGGTTATCAGCTAAATAATTCATTCCAGGGGCTGCAGCGTTATGAATAACACAACTCCTGTGAGTTAGTTGAAGGCTGTCAGGAACATGTGAAATCAGCTCTGCCGAGAGAGCCGAGGGATGGACGAGAGAAGCTTAAAAAGTGATGGTACCTGGGCTGCAGCAAGCAAAAACCGCTCAGCCAACGCGGCGTATCCCATGCGGAATTAAGCCCTGCACCTGCAGAGGCGAATTTTATCCTGTGTGTGCACTTCAGATGAACCACCCTGGAAAAAGTGCTGTCATCAGTGAAGTGCTTTGCTCTAGAGGTTAGGTTTTCAGCAGATTCAGGTGGCAGAACTAATTAAGAATTAACTCCAGCAGCCAATGTCCCACATTGCACCAGGCACCTGCCGTGCAGCTCAACCAGAGCGCTTCGGCAGGGAAAATGAAGAAGCTGCGCAAACAAAATGAATTATTCCAGAAAGGGTCTTATTCTTCCTCCGTGTGCACCCTGCCTCACTTCCTCAGTAAGCGTAGCGTGTGCCTTGCCTTCTGCTTTATTCCATTCCTGGCTTCTTAGGTCTGATCCTTGACTTTTCAGACACACATTTATGGGTTGTCTCTCCGTGGTTATGTTACTGCCTTTCTTTAATAACGTCTTCAGTGAAAGGCCATTAAATTGAAAAAAAAAAAGATCATAAAAATGCCTTCTTTCACTTGCTAAACAGCACCTCTCGTTTTTATAAGCAGCCTTTCGACAGAGTGACACACCACCACAGCGTACGTGATCTCTCACACTCTTCTCAAACAGCATCTTGTTTGTCACCAAACCTACTGTGCACCTGAAAGCGTTCAGTGGAAGAAAACTTTTGCAGAGAAATTGAGTTCCTGCAGACGTTAACATCCATTCTTGCCACTCTTGAGCTGCAAACTGCTTACCAGGGTATTTATATGCTGCAGCCACATTAAGTGGATTAGCTTTGAACTCCTGGACTGCCAAGAAACTCTAAAGAAATAGATGTCACACGTTCAGGCTGTGTTGACAGATGTTTTACAGATGCATTAGCTGGGAAGTTGCAACCTTCAGTTGCATGCTTGAAACTCAAAAGAAAATGCTCTTAAAAAAATAGCCAGTTCTTTCCAAATTGCACGGCATTTGTTCATAACGTCGCTGCTGACCTTGCTTTGATGATAATCCTCTTTTTATGTGCTTTCAGACAATCTTCTCTGTTCTGAAGAAAACAGTATCACTGACAACTCGAAATCAATGGGAACAAAATTGTCCTTCCTTGTGCCACTCACCATCCTTCCTGCCAGTGCCCGACACCACTTGGGACCCGGCAAAAATTTGACTTCTGCTGGCAAGGACGGAGGAGCATTTGTGTTGGGGTGGTCTGAAAGCAGGAACGTGTTTGGGCAGGCAACGGGCACCGCTCGGCTCCGTGGCTCCGAGGCCAGCGACTTAAGTTCCTGTCCTGCCATAAACTTCTCGCACAAAATTCACTTAATGTTAAAGCCGCAAAAATTTTAGGATGCTTTATTCATGTCCCAGCTGTCAGGGCTAAATCATTTAAGACGCTGGCTAGTATATCCTGATGGCTGGCTACTTGAGAAAATTCATAACAAAACTCGTCTCACGGTAACAGCCAGCCTCAAAGTTTTCTAGTTTCTTTTCACAGCTAAATTCCTTTTTGTCTCCTCTGTACATGTTTATTCTTTTCACTGCTAGTGCTGGGCTGCAGATACACCCACGTTTTTTATTTACATCTTCCCAAGAATATTTTTTTGTTTATTTAAAACTGGGCTAATTTTAAGAGACAGGAAAACATACAAAGAGAAATGATCATGTCTAGAGAGGAAGAGTGATTAGACAATCTGGGAGTAGTTTTTCTCTATCGCTATCATGTCCTTTCTTGAAAGAGAGCTTTTCATGATTTTGTTTGTTTTATCTGTGCAATCTGCCACAAAAATGGAAGGTTCAGCAAAATGATGTGTTATGAGCAAAATGTAACAGTCATCCCTTCTCTCTTGGGAGGAATGCTTGTCAATGTTGAATCTGCATGAAGAAGTCAGCCAGACGAGTTCAAGCACCACGTGGTTTTGCTTCTATCAGAGATAAACTTGTTTCCATTAGAAGCTGCAGAGCTTAATCTCTGTGATTAAACAGTAAGAAACTTCAAGGCACAACTCAACTGGAAAGGAACTAAAATCACAGCATGGTCTTTATTATTTACCTTGTGGAGCCAGTCCTGTCGTCACCTAGAAAGGATCAGACCCCACCCCACTCCCACCTGGGGTGCTAATGGGCAGGAAGCTAATGGAGACTCATGGTTCACCACCTGCTGGAAAAGCAAACGGACCAAGAGAGATGTCCAAGGGAGATGCAAACATAGCTCCTCTCTCACAACTCAAAAAGCATGTCACCAAATTATGGGAGGAAAAAAGAGTCTCCACAAGTCTTCTTTGCCACTAAGAAGAAGAGATGGACACCAACAAATCCTATTGTAACCTCGCTACTGAAAGGAGAATAAAAGGGAAAGAAAGGAAAGGGCTCAGAGAACAAGTTGTTGCCACTGGCAGCCTTGCAAGGCAGTGAAGAAGCCTCACTCCCCTTCCTCATCAGTTTTTGACTGCTCCTTTGCATTGGTAGCTCCTCATGGCTAGATAAATTCTGCTTAACAGCAGCTGATGGCAGCACCCCAAAGGGAGGCAATAAAATTCACTGACCACTAAGCACAGTCTGGGATATTGGTTGACCTCATAAAATAGATCCTGCTGCAGATTGTCTTTATGATTTTGGGCAAATCAGTCTCAAATATTTGCAACTCAGGTTTCCCGTTACAAAACGGGAAGAATTTTATTTGCTTGTATTTTAGGAGTGGTTGGCAGCTTCAAACACTTGGAAATTTCTTTCTCATCCCGGTGAAGAAACACTCTTCTAGCACTGTGAAGCTTGAGAGCACTTTAAGCTGATTTTAGTTTAATTAGTGTTAAGTGTGGTTTCCTATTCTTTTGTTACAACTATGTTGTGTCATAATAGCTAGACATTCATACTGGATTTATAAAGGTACGTTTCAAGCCTGAAGCTGTGGAGATAAGTGGACACACTTAGAGGTTCAGTCCTTTTTTTTTTTCAGAGAAAATGTTGCTGGCTATTAATACCGCCCGGAGAACACCCAGGGCGAGTACAGCGACCTGTGCATTATGTGATAAAAACCAAAGCAGCTGTAAGGAGGGTGTGGAAAAGAAATCACAACGAATTGAAATGAAAGCATTAAGCTGGTTGCACACTTGACAGCTTTCACCACACAGTCACTGGCTGTGGTTGGGTTCAGGCTTACCTGATAATGATCAGAGGAATGAAGTACACCAGGAAAGCCACCACCGTCATGTAGGGGATCCAGTAGGAATCATCAGGCCAGAGCGCCCAGCACTGCACTTCCCCGTTGGAAAGCTGCCGTTTCCCAAAAATAATCAGAGTCGGTATGGAAAACAGGAAAGAGAGGCTCCAGGCCACTCCGATAAGAACTTTTGCCTGTTTTTCTGTGCAACAGAGTCAAACAGAGGGTGTTAATGGTGGGGCTGGTGCGACTCGCCCCTTATAGCACTGCTGATTGGAAGGCAGGGAGGAGGAGGAAACTGGGTGAAAAAAGTGAATTTTTGGCTGCAGCCGGTTGATGCTGATAAGACTGCAAAGGAGAATGGGGATTTCATCTCTTTCTCATCAGAAAAAGTCACGTTGTTACGGGCTTGTGTTTTAAATGTTTCATTTAAAGATGCCGGGGGCCCACTGGATCTGAAACGCTATGAGAAAGGTCCTGGTCAGGGTCAGGAAGCCAGAAACATGAGATGTAAATGGTTCCCCTGTGCCACCAAGACAACATCATGAATGAATGCAAAGGACCCCAGGCCTGCCCTGCTGCACCCTCTCACCCTGGCACGGCAAAGCGGCCGTCAGTAGGAGGACAGAGAAGAAGACGGAGCCCTTGTGCTACAGATAGCAGCAGAAGGCTGAGACTGGGAAGGGTTACTCAAAACATAAATCAGTTTGGAGTGTACTGGATGTACTGGCAGGGAAAATGTCCTCTTTGGAATGGAAACTAAACGTTTTGGTGCACCTTGAAGTGAGAAAGCTCGCAAAACATTTCCTATCAGGAAAGAAAAAATGCCTCAGTTCAGGATCGGAACAAAACTACACAACCAGCTGCCTTTAACTCCAACTGCAACTTTGGTGCCCCAAAGAAACGTGGCCCTGGAGAGCCCGAGCATCTCCTTTAGTTCTCTACATCATGGCAAGGACCAAACCCAGCTCCTGTTGATGGGCACATGCCCAAGCCATACCAAGGGTGGACTGCTGACCATGAGACAGGTTAGATGATGGTAGGCTGGTGCTCAAGTGCTTAGCCCTGTTTTATCTGTCACAACAGACACCAACCAGGAGATCCTGCTGGACCTCATGGTGAAGATCAGGAGCTGAAGGATCCCAAAACATTTGGCAGGTTTGGGCCACTGTTTTTCCTTGACTTCTGGCCTCTTACGCTGCCAAGTGGGAAAAACTGGTGAGAAACCAAATGATGGCTGGTATCACCCATGGGATTTTTGTAAAAATTGATGGGTTGGAGCAAACAGCCCCAAGGCTTTTGTTTTCACAAATCTGCATCTTCTGTCTAAAATCCAGGTAGCTCTAGCGAAAAGCGTGGGGGAAAAGGGCTGATCTGTGGAGTACCAGTGATTCTCAGCAGCAGTTATTCCTCCTGAGTCAGATTGCTAGAGGAACAGATGGGGACAGATTTTTTGATCTGGGAAGCTTTGGTGTTGAAACACTTTATTGTCCTACAAAATACCCGAGGTTATGTGTGAAATAGAAAATCACTTTAAATTATGCATATCAAGAAGAACATCTTTCCTCCTTGAAGCTCAAAAAAGCAATACAAAAGCATGTGGGAGAAACATTCAAAAAGTAATTTTATGCTTTATAAAACATCAGTTGCAAATATTCACTTATCCTGCTCATTTTTAAATGCTACCCACGTTCAGCAAAATACAGTCTTGCTAATCTAGGGCTTAAGGGAATTCTCATGACATCTACGTAAGTGAGAGGGTTAGATTAAGTCTATAAATATTGCACAAGCAAAGGAAATCTGTAAAGTTTCCCAAAGCATAACAGAATAAACTTAGCAAAAGGAATATTAAGAATAAGTTTCAGAAAATATTTCCTGACAGAAAGGGCTTTTCGATTGTGAACTAGCTACTTAAACTCCATACAGACGAGTCTCAGTGGGGTCCATGTGTCTGTTTCGAAGGGGAAAAGATCACACTTGGATAATACACTTTATTTTTTGCACTGTATAGTGACACCCTTAACTTGCAAAGAAGTGAGAAATTTGGGTGGGCAGTTTGGGCGCCTCACTCCGAGGGTGGTGAGGCACTGGAACAGGTTGCCCAGAGACGTTGTGGCTGCCCCATCCCTGGAAGTGTTCAAGGCCAGGTTGGATGAGGCTTTGGGCAACCTGGTGTAGTGGAGGGTGTCCCTGCCCATGGCAGGGGGGTTGGAACTGGATGATCTTTGAGGTCCCTTCCAACCCTCACCATTCTATGATTTTTAAAAGTAGTATTTTATCTTTGTGTTTTGTAAAACATTACCTTGTAATGTTCATTTAATCTTGTTTTCAAATGTCCCTCGTGTTTGGTAAAATATGGCCTAGCTAGTTTAAAGGGCTTTACAAGGCACTGAGAGCATCAAATAAGTAGATTTTTTTTTATCAGACTGATGTTAATTGGCTGCCTCACAAGCAGTGGGGTTTTTTATGTTGTTTTTTTGTAAATGCTCTAATATGCTCTAAAAGCCAGCAAATCATATAATTAGAACCATAGAAACTATAAATGGAATCAAAGAAACAACAGCTTTTGAAATACGATATTCTATTCAGCCAGTCTCTGTATTTTCCTTTAAAACCAATATTGCTCTTTAAATGGAGAGATTTTCATACTGGGGGGGTCAAAACTAACACCCAGGGTTGGAGCAGGGATCTCAGTCGTGGGCTCTGACACTGACTCTCCTAAAGGACATTTTCGTGTCTGTCATGGTTTGATGCGGGGGGTGGAGGTGGGGGTTCTGGTGGCAGGAGAGGGGCTTTGCTCCCTGTGACACCCCTGGTTTTGGAACCGGGTTAGACCTGGTTCTGGCCAGCAGATTGGACTCCCATCCCCCTCGGGGTTGCGCCAACTG